TATTTCCCCTTCTTTAACTGGAACAGTAGCAGGTTTAGGGTGGAGCCACAAGCCTGACGGAAAGTGGTGTAGCGCTGAGCGACAGGACACGTGGATCAAGGCACAATGGACGCTGAACTACAGGAGCTACAGAGTAAGCTGCGGCAGCTGCAGGAGGAAAACCAACTTCTGCGAGAGACAAATGAGGATAAACAAGACTCACAACCCTCTACATCAGGTGGCACAGCAGGAAGGAAAGGCACAGCATGTCATGCAGAAAGGGAATCAGCCACAGAACGGATTCTCTACATTCCGAGGGAACGAAAGTGTCTCGTCTTCAGAGGTAATGTTGGGATTGGAGTGACTGATTGGATAGAGGAGGTCCGGGCAAGCCTGAGGGCAAGGTATTTATCTCCTTTGGATCAGGCTTACTTTGTGTATGATCACCTTGAAGGGGAAGCAAAGGAGGAGATTAGATATAGGCCCTGGGCTGAAAGAGAAGACCCTGAATGCATTTTGACTATATTCCAGGAACTTTATGGGTGTTCAAAATCTTACGTGACTCTGCAGGAAGATTTCTTTTCTAGAAAGCAAAAGGAGGGGGAATCATTACAGGAGTTTTCACATGCTCTTTTCTGTCTGATGGAGAAAATAACTGTAAATGCACCTGGTGTTGTGTCTGTCTGATGCTGCTGTGCTCTTACGAGATCAATTTACTGAACATGTACTTGAGCCTTCTTTAAGTAGAGAGTTAAAAAAGCTTGTTCGGGAAAACCCGGATCTTACATTGCTGGACGTAAGGAAAGAGGCTATACAGTGGGAACAAGAGGGTCAGCCAGCTGATGTAAGAAGTAGAAATAACCACCTGACATCTTTTTGTGCTGTGCAGAACTCCCGAAGTAACAGATCTGGCTCAGAGTCTTTCCCAAGGGCCTCAGACGGTCTGTCAGAAATCAAGGAAATGTTGGTAAAACAGCAGGAACAGATTAACCTGTTGTCTCTAAGTTTGTCGCAGCTACAAAGACCTTCTGGGTCCCAACAACTAAACCGAGCAGCCCAGATTATCTGCCAACGTTGCCAGAAGCCTGGTCACATAGCCAGGAACTGTCGCCAGAAAAGAGCTACTGCAGCACAGCCTGGTAGAGAGGAGACAGTGGCCTCCCACCAGCAGATGGGAAACTAGCCCCTTCTGCTTTGCAGGGCCTCAGTGCAGAAGGAGGGAGATTTGGTCCAAAGATTCCTAGTGTGACAAGTGCGTCAAACATTTAGGAGAATCCCACCTTAAAAGTATGAGGCAGTAAAAGCACACATCAGACAGCTGTTGGAGAGTCAGGTGATACGTGAGAGCAGTAGCTCCTATGCCTCCCCCATTGCCGTGGTGAGGAAAAAGGATGGGAGTATTCGTCTATGTGTGGACTATAGACAACTCAACAGTAAAACATGTTGTGACGCTTTTCCTCTACCCAGGATTGAGGAGTCTCTGGATGCCCTATCAGGAGCAAAGTGGTTTTCCACCCACCACTTGGCAAGTGGCTACAATCAGGTACCAGTGGCTGTAGCAGATAAAATGAAAACTGCATTTTGCACTCCCTTTGGATTGTATGAGTTTAATCGCATGCCCTTTGGTCTGTGCAACACACCCAGCACATTCTATCGATTGATGGAATGGATGTTTGGGGCCCAGCACTGTCAATCCCTGTTGTTGTATCTAGATGATGTTGTGATCTTTTCCTCTTCAGTCGACGAGCATTTGCTGCGTTTGGAGGCGGTGCTGGATTGCCTGAGACAAGAAGGACTAAAGGTGAAACTCGACAAGTGTGCCTTCTTCAAGCAAGAAGTAAAATATCTGGGCTATGTCATCTCTAGGGAGGGGGTGTCCACGGATCCAGACAAGATCTCTGCTGTAAAGAGCTGGCCTCGTCCAAACAACCTTACAGAGCTACGATCGTTCCTGGGATTTGCCAGCTACTACAGACGGTTCGTAGAAGGGTTTGCAAAATTAGCAGCTCCACTTCACCAACTCGTAGCTCAGATACAGCAGTTACGAGGCCAGCAACGGCTAAAGCAAGTGGGGAATCATTGGTCCCAAGCATGTGAACAGGGTGTCGAGGAACTAAAAGCCAGACTGGTCAGTGCACCTGTTCTGACATATGCAAATTTCTCCCTGCCTTTTATTCTTGAGATTGATGCCAGTTATGGTGGCCTGGGAGCAGTTCTTTCCCAGGAGCAGGAAGGCAGGGTACACCCTGTTGCCTTTGCTAGCCGTGGATTAAGACCCACAGAGAGGAACATGTCTAATTACAGTTCCATGAAGCTGGAGTTTTTAGCTTTAAAATGGGCCATGACAGAGAAGTTCAGAGACTATTTGCTGGGTCAACAATGCATAGTGTGGACTGACAATAATCCTCTCAGCCATCTGAACACAGCTAAGCTGGGCGCAACTGAACAGCGCTGGGCAGCACAGCTAGCAGATTTTAACTTCACTATTCATTACAGATCAGGCCGAACCGATGTGAATGCAGATGCCCTTTCAAGGAAACCTGGGGCCCCCACGGAGGCTGACATTCCCCTTCCAGGAACTTCAGTGCCGGTGCTGAGATTGCCCAGGAGATTGCCCCTGTGCTGTGTCTTATAAATAAAATTGTCAAACTTGTGAATAAGCCTCTGCTGTTTTCATCAAGGGTTATTATTATTTACGGTTTTAGGATCTAAGCATCCAATCCTCTAGGTCACATATAGTTTATCAGCAAAAAAAAAGTTGATTTGGGGGTGACTTGCTCTTTAAACAACACACAATGTGTGTGTCGGCTGGGAAATCTGAGCATGACACCTCCACCGTCAGAACGTCCAGCCCCACTTACCTGTAGCGCTCGCCGGCTGCACCCCCCTCCCCTTTCAACAGGGGAAAACAGCGACCGCCAACAATTCGGTAACAATTGACAGATAACCGCGTCAATCCACCGCCCCAGAGGGCTCCTTTGAGCACTCAGACCACCCGGTCTCGGGCAGGATGACGCCAAGTAATAAACATACTCACCTCTAGACCGACAAGATCCGAATCACGGACTTACAGAGCGATTGACCAGCGAAGCACGCCAGGTCAACAGCGAGAAGATCAAAGAGACCCGAACGTAGCTATCGGCGCGTAATTTATAGACTCTATAGACTCACGACCAGGTGCGCTACGTGTCACGTGCGCAATGGCGGTTTTAAACAGGGGCCCACAGGGGCCTGGGCCCCTGTAGAACCGGCCCTGGCCCCTGTGCTGAAGAGATCGGAATTTTTTTCCCGCGCTGCCTCGGAGACGGGAACTAATGCGCTGCAGCGTTTCACACGGAGCCTTTAGAGCGCAGCACACTGTGGACAGAACTGTTTTACCCGGTGGATTTTTGAATAAAAGATTAAAAATAGTTTAAATGGGACCCGAAGAAATTCTTGAGCACGACTAACGGAAAATACGCTAAGAGATGAAGGTAAGCAATACAGTTTATTTTCCTGACATCAATGTTTTGATCGTAGTCGCACGTTTCTGTCATTTACTTTTAAGTTCCTAACTGAGTCTATCCACAGTTAACACTGATTTGTTTTTCCTTTGTAACATTAACTGTAAAATAAAAATGAAGTTGCTGCATTTTAAGCTTTAGACACGTTGAGATTAGACCACAGTATTCATTTATCTATGACTTTCTCGCAGCACTGACTGGAAGCATCAGCGGCCATGAAAAAAGGGACATTTTGTCCTTTTTTTATCGCTGTTAATAAAGAACAGCATAGACAGAGAGAGGATGAAAGTCACGAGGGAGCTGAAGCAGGATGAAAGAGAGGAGGAGTTGGTTGGAGAGGAACCAGAGAGGTCAGAGGCTGTCCACCCTGAGAGTGAGGATGAATATGTAGGCTGTGAGGGAAAGAGTGAGGAGCAAAAAGAGGGACATCTTCTGTCATGTGCACCGTGTACACTACCGTCAGGTTTGTGGGTGTTGAACAACCCCTCTGTGATTGCAGCTCATATTGTGTGTAAAATGCATTTGAGGCATGCTGACTCTGGACCAAAATTTCTGTTGTTTATATTTAATAAATAGATAAAATAAGACTCTGAATTAACTAATTATGACTTTTATCCTCATGCTAACATTTATTTTCTTTCAGATATCAGCAAGTGCAAGGATGACCCACCTACTCAGCCTAGTTTGAGGACATTTCCAGTGACATTAATAGGAGACCGAAGACGCAGTTTTCAGCCAAGCTGGTATGAAAGTCATCCCTGGGTCGAATATTCGGTTTCAATGGACTCTGCTTATTGTCATGCATGCAGACATTTTAGCTCACCAAGTAGCACAGGAAGTGTGTTTGACTCTCAATTGTGGATTTAGGAACTGGAAAAAAGCAACTGAGAGAGGAGAGGGGTTTTCAGTACATGCAAAGTCTGAAAGGCATAAGGATTCAATGATAGCGTGGAGGGACTACCAGAGGGCTGTGAAAGCTAATACAACATTGGCTAATATACTCGACAAGGAACACAGTAAAAAGGTTAAAGAAAATCGTGAGTACGTCAAAACAGTTGGTGAAGTGATTTTGCTTACGTGTGTGTGTGTGTGTGTGTGTGCGCGCGCGTGTGTGCGTGCGTGTGTGTGTGTGTGTGTTAAAAGCAAATTGTATTGCGCAGATATTTTATTTGTTTGAATGTTTATTTTTCATATGTACAGTTCATATAATCTTCAAATAAAGTCACAAACTATAATAATTGACTAGAATTGTTTTTTTACTCAAGTCACATGTTGCAGTGAAGCATTCAGAATTGTTATCTGAGTACCATAAAAACATGCCAGTTTTACTTTCACAAGTAAACCATTACTGCATTGGCCGTAATAGTTTACTTGTTCATTGTCTTTTATTATGATTTTTTTTCTTGTGCCCCCATGAAAAAATACTGGCCCCACTGTGGCCCCCCTGGAAAATTTGGTCTAGAACCGCCCCTGCTGACGTGCGTGACTTTGTTTACTTTAGTACTCGACCTGCGCAGAGCGCGAGGAGATACATCCACTCAGTTTATTGCCACTGGCAGTCAGGAGGGAACGAAACAGAAACTCCAGTTGAAGATCCAGATAGGAGTTTTAACATGAGAGGACTGTTGGAAGAGCAGAAATCAGCATCAACATGGCATCGGGAGAAGGAGCAGATCAAGGTACCTGTCAGAATAATAAACATGTTGAAACAGCGTGTTTAACCGGTGTAGGAAGACCAGTTTGATTAAGATCCGGGCATGATGTCTGTCGCTAACGTAAACTCTCACAGTATTTTACGTTCAAATAAGTCTAATATGATAATATGGCAAACTTTTAAATAAATAACAAGTGATATTACTTTTAGTTAAAAGTAAACTTAATTTATAGTAAATTTGCATGGGCTTCCGTAGTTGTGGAGCGCTTGTTTTTATCGTCGGCGTTGCCAACAGGTCGTCGTGAAAACAGTCCATTCTCCTTTATTTCATGTTTAGAAGCGTACTAATAATAATAAGTTATTTTGACAATGGCAAAGTTAAAGGGAGAACTGTGGTCCTACATTAGGGTTAATGGTTATAGTGTAGTTATTCACGTGCAGTCCTTACGGGAAATCACACGGATCTGTCCTTTTTTTATTTTATTTTTTTTATTTTTTTATTTAAATTCGAGTATTGGGTCATTAACAATACAATCAAGATACATAAATGACTGAATGTCCAATATGAAGTACGTGGAAACAGTACAAACACAACAAAAACACACCAACAGATTCGACGCCAGGGGTTACTGTATACAAATTATGAAACATATGTGAATGATGATCAAAACAGGAAACAATATGAGACATGCAACTGAGTATGGGGAACTATGGAAATTTGAAATTTCGAGCAGATACTTAGTGTCTTAATGGCTGTGTTATTGTTCGAGGTGGAGATCGTTTTCAAATAAAGCTCGAGTTCTTTTTTCAAGACACAAAAAGAAGGTCTTATTTTTAACACTTTACATTTATGGATGCAAAACTTGGTCAGCAATATGATAAGATTAGATAGGAACAGTTAATTTTTCAAATCTCTCTGATAGTCTAGAAATCCAAACAGAACATTGTGAAAATGTAATACAAAGGTCTCGTGGATATGGTCCAATATAAATCTACAGACGCCTTGCCAAAGTTTCCGAGTGTGTTCACAAGTCCAGAACAAGTGGAGATGACAGAGATTGCTGGAGATGCACTCATCTCAGCTGCTACGCCTGTAGGGGGCGCATCGCTCCTCCGAATGTCTCACCTTACCCATGAGTGTCTCTGGAGAGCTACTAAAAGGGAGAAGGAACCAACCCACGCGTTAGTAATGGTCACAAACGAAAACGGCAATAATCCACCTCAAAATAATTAGAAAAAAGAAAACAACGCAAGTGTAACCCGGACTAAAATATAACATTAAGGTTTTTTCAACAATTAAATTCATAAGCAACGAAGGTGTTTTGTAGTCATTGTAAAACCAAATGTAGTATTCTAATTGTTTACTTTTTCCTCAGAGATCGTTATAATAATAAGCCCACTATTTTATTTGTATTTATGAAAACTGCCTAATTTTTATTCTTTTTTTTTTCGGAAACTCTGAACGCCGTCTTCAACTGTTTCCATGACGACCTCTCCATTCATAATACAGCGGACACGTTGACGTGTTGATTTTACTGTGGAGCCAAGCACCTGGTGCTTGTATTATTTAATTAATCTCACAACGTCAGTCTGTTGCGTAACCACGTGACTTCCGGATTCTAACGCTTTGTGACGTCAGCTTGCAGGGCGTCAGCTTTTTCCATCATCTAAGCTAGTGTAGGCTGCAAACACTCAGTTGTTCCTCAGGCTTTCATCTGAACACATCTTGGATTTCAGCTCCAGCAGAAATGAGTTTAATTTCAGATTTTGAGTCCACCTCTGTGGAAAACCAAGAAACTGAAAGGAAAAAGTCTATAAGCTCGCTTATAAAAGTATTAATTAATGCAGCAGCTGAAAGATCTGATACGACGTACTCTTTGGACATCCAGCAAACAACGTATGACTTTTATTTTCTACTGATCTGGGAAAATGTTAAAGAAATTGATTTTTACATCGACCCAGATCATTTGCCCACATTTCAGAAGAGGATTTTCAGTACTATCTGTCAGAAACTGTCCTGTACGAGTGAAGAATGTTTCGCTTTGATGTTGTCAAAGGACCGACGCTTTCTCAAGGCAATGGTTTCCTTGATGAGAAAGCAAATTGTCAAGCTTCCCAAAACCTTTGTAGGAAATGTTTGTCAAAGGGAAAACGCTGCAGAGGACCCAAACATTTTGACAAGTGAAGATAGTTGTTCGACCGACACAAATCAGTATTCGAATAACTGCCTGACTGAGAAGCGTTGTTATAATGTTCCAACAAAAGCTTTGGTTACTTCTCAGCCAGCTAGTAAAGGATTTATGATACCTCCGCAGTTGGAAAACATTCTCCATCAGTTAGCGGAGGAGAAATCTGTCTCTCGTCAGATGGTTAAAGCCAAATCAACCAGGAACGATGAGTTTCAGAAGCAGTCATCATATGTGCAAAAAAAAGTGAGTGATTCTGTTATTGAGCCTGTTAAACCAGTAACACATGACAATCCTCGTTCTTACACGTCTAAACCGATTCAAGAGATGTACAGGCCACGGCAAGAGAACTGTAAATCCGACCATGAAGGTTCATCGTCTGAATCCATCGTGGAAGACGAGCCTCAACAGCTGATCTCTTCTCCAAACAGTTCGACCGTTGATTACTCAGCGGTCAGACATGCGGAGAACTTTCAGATGAAAGCCTTACTGAATCGGCTAGTAAATCTAATGATTGAGCGGGCTTTTAGAGAATCCGTTACGATTTATTCAAAAAAATTTCGGCAGACCTTACAGAAGTCAGTGTTTGAACTAGTCTGGAATGAACTTAAAGGAGAACAATTTGATATTGAACCAGAAATGGAGTCCAAATTTGTCAAGAAAGTTATCAGGGATGTCTGTAAGTTAAGCTGCTGTGGCACTGATTACTTGCTTAAGTTAATGAATCACGCAAAATCACAAACAGTTAATCACATCGTTTTCTCCATCAGAGAACGACACAAGAAGCTTCACAAAACTAATTTAGTCTCAAAGGTCTTCTCGTATGTCAAAAGTATCAAAATGTCATCAGTGAGAGGAAAAGAGACACTGCCTGCTCCATCAGTGGATGCAGGCGACAGAAGTGTTTCAGAGAATGACTGCATCCAGCAGATATCATACGAAGAAAACGAAGAAAAAGCAGCTATTGATAAACTCATCATTAAGTTAATGTCGCTGATAGCTCACAACGCAGAGAACGTCCTTTCAGCTAACGATTGTAATGAAATAACTGAGCGTTTATCATCAATGGTCTGGGCTGAAGTGATAGGTCGTGATATTGAACCAGAAAAGGTTCCTGGTCTTTATGAATCAATTTACAACGATCTGTGTGTCAAGTGGAGCAATGCAAAAAGAATCCCTCTTTTCCTTGCTTTAAACAATCGAAATATTAACGAGACAGTGGTGTTAATCATTAAACGACGCCTGCTGAAGCCAAGTACCTCAAAATACATCAAAAGTTTAGCTAGTGTGTTTAGCAGTCATCGTTGAGATCATCAACAAGCTCATCGGTCAACACAAGGCACCTAAAATACCTAGGATGGGGACCTGCCCATCGTTCTCCATCGGAGAATTCGTTATCTTTAGAAATATTATTCCACTGACGTAAAATGCGATTCAAACGGCACCCCCACAAACTTTTCATCAAAATGATAGGCTTGGCCGTGGGAGGTGTGGTATATCATGATTTTGTTTTGCTCACACCTACGTCACCCTGAGATTAGTAAAGTTATATGTTTATTTATTTATATGGCTAGATCGGAAGCGTGCACCCCACAAACGATACATGAAAATGAACTGTAGCTGCACGTCCCAACATCACCTAAATATCAAGACTTTGGGTTAGGGTTAGATAATATATGGCCACCATTTAGTGCCAATGATAGGTCCCTTTTCAAAACTTCTTTAGGGAGTTTCTAGTTAGTTATTACTTAGATTTTATTGGAACATTTAACTTTATTCTGGCTGCTAAATGGCACAGTGGTTAGCACTGTCCCTTGCAGCAACGAGGTTCTGGGTTCAGATCCCAGCCTGGAGTCTCTCTGCAAAAACGTAGCATCATGTGCACACGTGGGTTCTCTCTGGCTTCCTCCCACTGTCCACAAACATGATTGTCAGGTTAATTGGTCTTTCTAAATCATCCTTAGATAGGGTCGTGTTGTTCTTAGTTATTACTTCATTCACTGCAAATGTGGCGTTACTTGATGTGACATGTTGGCACCATAAGTGAGGTCAGCCAGAGGAATGACACAACTGTGCCACTCTGCTGTTTCATTTATAGGGGGTTCTCACTCAGACCTTAGGAAACACATAGAGTTAGCTTGTGCTGTTCAATGTTGCTGCTTTAATATTATAGTTAGGTTATACGTAAGTTAATTAGTTAATGTCAACACAACCATATTAACCCTCTGGAGGCAGGCGCTGCAGATTAGCAACGTTAAAACCTACCTACCTGGTTACTCCACATACATATTTCATGAGCATTTTTTAACTCAGAAGTACCCCTGAAGGACTTAGTTGTTTGTCCTTTTATCAAAACTTATTTTGAGCCTGAGAGGGTTAAGTAGTGATGAGATTTATGGCTCTTTCACCAGAGCCGCTCATTAGTCAGTCGCTTACCTCAAATGGCCATTCAAATCAAAAGACTGGCTCCTTTGAACGAAGGGAAGCCGAGGGGGTGGGGGTAGGAGTAACGTGTTGCTCCGGTGTCCTTGAGGGTAGCGTTCTTCCTACGTCCGTCACAGCGGTGGGTGGGGTTTGCGCGGGTAAGCTTTGCCAACTTCCGGGGAGGTTTGTTACCGGAAGACGATTCGTTCGTGTATGTCACATCACTACTGGGTGTGCCCTTCCCCTATAACTGTTCTGTCTCGTGGAGGAGCTCATCTGTGTGCATCTGTGTGAAACACGCATAGGAAAAAAAAGAACGACAGAAAGATCGGCTCCCCTCAGCCGTGACTCGGCCCCATCGTTCATGTTTAGGAGCCGTTCAAAAGAATCGTTTCATTCGCGAACGTCACAACTC